AAAAAAAAAACGGTAACCTGGTTGCCGAGTTCACGAAGTGAATTGGCTTGTTTTACAACGTCTTTGCCAAGCGACGAAAACCCAATCCCGATGGCAAACACCGGGGGGGGCGGCTTGTTTTACAACGTCGTTGCCAAGCGACGAAAACCCAACCCCGATGGCAATCACCGGGGCGGGCGGAGGGGGGTACTCTTATGTTTTGCATGTTGGCATTATGTTGCGATGCTTATCGGGACCAGACAGGCGCTTTTGTGAGCCAATGTTGCTTCGCTGCTTTCGTGCAACTTGAACTTCGGACGGACGTCATGGTGCTGTATTTATCGGAACAAGCCGGGTTGCCTTTTGGGCCCCTTCAGCTCCCCGCTGCTTTCGTGCAAAATTTTGCGGCCCATTTCGACTCGGCGAAGAGCTTGGTTCTCTCGGCGGGAACACGCATAACCCGAGACCCGTTGGGATGAAAATCCTACAACCGACACAGACAAGAAAAAACAAAAAACTGCGTCTCCCGCCAAGCACCAAGCACCGACAAAAAAATGAGAACTCTTGCACACACCGGCGGTGAGACACCTACACAAACTCAATGGTCGCTGACACAGCCTGTGCAACGAAGTGATTCAAGTCGGCACACGCACCAACCCACCCATGTAAACACCCACGCGTGCGTGTGACCGCAACCACCAGTCAGCCATGCAGCAGCCTTCTCAGAAGTTTTTTTCTACCACCGTAAGGTTGGGAGTCAGCTAGAGCATAGGGCACAGGGGTGCGAGCGACTTTCAAAGCGTAATTTCTTCACAACCAGGGGGTTTCCACTGTCGAAAAAGGCGGTTTTGGAAGTATCTCACCGAGAGCTTTCCTGAGAAGCACCAGCTGGCGCTCGCACCCTTCTGGTTGTAGCGAAATTACGCTTTGAAAATCGATCGCGCCCCTGTCCCTGTGCTCTAGCTGACTCGCGACCTTACGGTAAGTAAACATGCTGTGAAAGAAAGAACATGCACGGGACTCACCAAGCACAACGAGAACAAGACGCCCAGCGCCACCAGCACGGACAAGGCGGTCACCACCGACAGAGGCGAGCCTCCCCCGTTCGACGAGTCCACTTCTGGGGGCTCCGCGATGGAGATGCTCTGCCCTTCCACCTGGTAAACCCTCACGTAGTCCACCAGCATCTCGGGGTTCTCTTCGAGGGCGTCCTGCGATGAAAACCGTTCCAGTTTTAACGCAAGCAAGGTACGATCATAAATGAGGAGGCTTTTTTTTATTTGGGGGGAGGCGGGGCGGGGGGGTCGTATCGCTTAGACTCAACCCGCGAGAGGGATAGTATCGTTCTAATTTTGAATGAAACCGTTCCAGTTGATGAAGCAACGTACACGATTACAAGTGAGGAGGCCACGTTTTGGGGCGAGGTCGTATCGCTGAGCGCCACTTGTGACATGGAGAGCATTGTTCTGATTTTCGATTCTTGTGGCACGCCATCTACATAAGACAAAAAAAACGACGGCGTGCGTGTGGGGTATAGTTGTGGCACAACATGGAGGCGAGATCGACGATGTGCGCTTCGTTTCGGTATCCTCCGGCCTACACCGAGTACCGTACCCCAAGAAAGCACACGGCACAACAACGCAGGAGCGGTCTGCAGCGCGCCCATCGACACCAGTGACCTAGCAGCGCATATCACCACCCCCCGTGGTCCTCCTCCCGGAAACACGGGTATGAAGTGTACCCCTTTCAACGGTGTTCGCCAACACAGGTGGACAAGAGCGCTGTCCCCCTGTAGCCCTCCGACGATAGGGACAAGGGAATATGCATACCCTTAACGGGGTAAACAAATCAGGTAAACGGGCTTAACACAGAAGGCGAACTGGGTTAACAGATAAGGGTTGAGGGGATAACAAATCAGGGGTGAACACGCCTCCGGTAAATCCTCTCCCACCATCGACCGCCCCCGCCACACACCTCGTCGATGAGACCTCCGGTAAAGTCGCCGCCCACCGCCACGTTCATGATCAGGTAGAAGCTCGTGTCGAAGGGGGCGGGGAAGGGGTAGTCTTCCTCTCCCGGTCCGGGCCTCGAGTACCAGTAATGCCGGTCGCAGTACAACACGCCATCCAGGTACCACCTGGCCGGGAAAAAAATTATTGTGGCGGCGATTTGCTGTTTTCGGAGCTGAGATAGCCGCTGTACGACGACACTGTGATCGTTGCCTCATACAGCTAATAATAGCGCGTGGAACAGTCGCACGGTACTTGGTAGTCTGCAGCGAAAGCAGCAATGACAGCGACGACGACGGCATCAACATCG